CCAAAGTTGAACGTGAGAGAGAGAGAGACTTTGGTTAGTGCAAGCCCATGTTCACACTGTTCGAATAGCCTCTTGCAATCTTGCATTGGGAATATTTACCCATGAAATAAATCACATAAGTACAGAGATATCCCCAATGCAAAGCTATAAAGGTTGTTTGAACGGCCATTGCACTAACCAAAGTTGAACGTGAGAGAGAGAGAGAGAGAGAGAGAATGGTATTTTAATGAGAAGTGTTAAAACTCTTAAAAATGATTGGTCATTTGAGTTATTTTGCTCAATTTTATAATTAGAAGATTGAAAAAATAGAAAAAAAGATAGGTGCCTTTGAGAAGAAACCAAAAAAGAGATAAGTGGCTTTGAGAATAAACCGTAGAGCAAGAAAGTGCCAACTTGGCACATTGCATTTTAATATATAGATATAGATACCCTTGTCCTTAAAACTTTCATTTTTCTTTTCCTCTCCATTTTCTCTTAAACCCTAACCCCAAAATACCCGTATTTGTTAAGTTGGTAGATGGAAGGTGTTAAATTATCAAAATACCCACATTATTTTTTTCCTCACCCATTTTCGTTTAAACCCTAACCCAAAAATACCTCCATAGTTGCACCTCCATTAGTTCTCGTCAGAAAATACTTCCACTGTCTCACTAATAAATATCTCTGTTATGCCATTATCGGAGAAAAAAAAAATTCCAGCAAGAAAATTCTTCTTTGCATTTATTACACCATCTTAGAGAAGTAATATGTTGTTTATTCACTATTTTATTTGAGCTAATTGCAGCTCATGAATAAGTTTGCCATCTAGGATCTATTAAAGTAATCAAGAGGACTTCAATATTGTATTTAGAAAATTGATCAAATCAAAAATCGTTCAAATATAGGGATGGCAATGAGGTGAGTTCGGGGAGGGTTTTGTAAATTTTAGACCCCACTCGCCCCTAAACCTCCTAACTTGTACCCATCTCAAAATTTTGAGAATCTAAACTCTCCCCACACATGAAAATGCAAAACCCTCCCCCAAGCCTACCCTCTTCGCATTCAAGGGTGGGGTGGGTTGGGTTTAGAGCCTATACCTAATAATTTCCTATTATTTTTTGTTATATATAAGCAATAAATAAGTAAAATAACACAACCAAACAACAAAATTTTCAATTATTTGATTAAAACATTTAAAAACCACATAAACTATCAATTACCCTTGACATAAAATTCAAAATATTATTAAATTCAACACCTAATACATAAAACTTGTATACTTTCCAATAATATGCGGGTTAGGGAGAGATGGGTTTAGCCTAATATTTAACCCTACCTGTACTCATACGGGTTGTAGAGTACAAAAATTTGTTCCACCCAAAACCTGTCCTTCAAGCAAAAAACCCTACCCCATGGAGCTTTACTCCAACTTCACAACCTTCACCAAGCTTTTTCCAGTGATCTTCTGAAGCCTCATGGCATTCATCCTTCCTCTGATCTTTGCAATATCTTCCCACTGACCTGCTTTTGCATAGATGTTTGCTAGCTGTACATGAAGATCAGGATTTTCAGGTTCTAACTCAGCAAGGCGTTTTGAAAACATCTCTGCTACCTTTCTGTCCCCTTGAATTGTTGCAGCTCCAAGTAATGCTTCCCATATTTGAGCATTTGCTTGGAAAGGCATATCACTAATGAACTTCAAAGCTTCTTGAAAAAGTCCTGCTCTTCCCAGCATATCTACCATGCAGAGATAGTGTTTCATTGTGGGTTCTATACCAAAGTCAACAGACATGTCTCTGAAATATCCAAACCCTTCTTCTACTAAGAAGGAACGGCTGCAAGCTGAGGACAGCTATTAATGTTACAGAGTTGGGGCTGACCGTTCTTGCCTTCTTCATTTTTTCAAAGAGAGAAATGGCTTTGGCTCCTTGGCCATTCAATCCATAGAAAATAATGAGTGCAGTCCATGAGCTTACATCCTTTTCCTGCATCTGATAAAAGACCCTCTCTGCAAGCTCTAGAGCCCCACATTTACCATACATATCAACAAGTCCATTACCAACAATAAGAATCCTCTCTAAACCACTTCTATATACATAGCCATGTATCTCCATCCCTTGTCCCAATGAGACCAAGCTGGCGCAGCATCTAAGTGCAGTTACAACTGAGAATGAATCAGGTTGATGCCCTCCAGATATCTGCATCTCTACAAATAGCTGCATTGATTTTTTTGCATCTCCATTCTGAGCATGGCCCCACATCATTGAATTCCATGAAATGAGGCTCCTTTCGGGTATCTCATCAAAGACGCGACGGGCTGAGAGCATAAACCCACATTTTGCATAGACGTCAATCATGGCAGTCGAAACAGAGATATCAGACTCAAAACCAGACTTGATCAAGAAGCTGTGAATTTGGGATGATCCTTGACGGCAAGAAAAACTTGGAAGGAGAGTAGCCATGGTAAAGGAATTGGGTCGACATCCTGCAACAAACATGTCATTGAAAAATTGAACAGCGTGGTCCGGTTGATGGTTTTGATTAAATGCCGATATAACAGCAGTCCAAGTGACAACATTTCTCTGGGGCATATTTTCAAACAGGTAATGCATGGGTTCCAGCCAAGCAAATCGGCCATAGAAAAGTAGTAAACTATTACCCACAAAGAGATTAGAATCATAACCCAATTTAATGGCATGGTTGTGGATAATGAATCCAGAGGTTGGGTCTCCGAGTTGGGTCGAAGCTTTGAGGATGTAGGGGAAGGTCTGGTTATCAGGCTGGAAACCATGATTGAAATGGTGGGCATAGAGTTCCAAGGCTTAAAGAAAATGACCAGCTTGGACTAGTTCTTATATTACAGAAGAGATGGTGGGATTTGAGTCGCAGGGTTGGATGTGAAGTAAAAGAGCAAAATGATTTGGATATGGATTTGGGATTGTATACCTTCTTCTACATATGGACCTGAAGCGCATCATTAAGATACACTCGGATTGAAAGTCTCTGTTTGTTGTTAAAACATTTAATAAGATTGGGGATCAAATGATGCTTGAAATGCATATTGGAGCTAACCTTATCAAACGCTTGATGAACAACTCTTGACGCAGAGCATGCTGCTTCTCTTGAATTATACACGAACTCGAACTTAAGTCGGGTTCCTACCTCACCTCTGTGTTGGAATTTGGTTGGGCTGGCCTTGAGCTAACTAAGGGATCAAACCAAGTCCAAACCCAGTAGCTCTGCAAACGGTACCCAATGTTTCGAATTTAGTCTCATTTAAGGGTGATCCAAATTCGTTAGCAATCTTCAACTTTATCCTTTACGGATTTATTTTGATGAATTACATGAAAAGAGTAAATCCCTTATTCTTTTGACAATGTGAAACTCTGTTTTTATAAAATTATCCCTTATTTATTTATATGAGAAAGGGTATAAAATATTTAATTATAAATTTAATGTTAGTTTTAATGCCTACTAAAATGCTTATAGTTGTGTATTTAATCCATTTCTATTTGTCAAATTGTAACTTCAATTATTAGTTTATTACTTTCTACCTCATTTAATTCTCTCTCATTAAGTCTTATAAGGTCTATATTAAATCTTATTTTTCTTATTAAATTCTATATTTTTGAAATATTTTCACTAATTGATCAACCTATGAAGTCCTAGTTAGATAATAAACTTTTTAAAATAGAAATAAATATAAAAAATTACAAAAAATTAGACACACATGATATTTTTACTAATCAAATTAAAAAATAAATGTAATAAAAATGAATTATTTTTATTGACAATAAAAATGAAATACATAATTTAGAATCGACCAAAAAAGGAATATAAAAACTAATTGTAAAAAGTTCAACTTTTAGATTAAATGTGTTAAACTTTAATGTCATAAATTAATAATAAAAATTAATAAAATATAGAAATGTGAAAATGATAAAATACATAAATTAAAAAAAAAGAAATATGCATAATATTAAATATTTATCATTTTAAACAAAAAATAAGTGTGATATATCCAAATTATTTTTACACAAAAAATACAAAAAATTGAACACATCTATAGAATTGTATATTTACGCTACTATTAAAAATATGAATTGTGAAATTTTCTTTTGACTAACATAATCAATTTTGAATTTAGTCCTTATTTAATTGTGAGGCTTAAATTGTAAATTGAAGTATTGAACTACTACTTTTTACCTCATTCAATTTCCTCTATTTAAATGTTATTTATTTATAAATGAATTAATAAAAAAGATATACCAAAAAGATAAAACACTAGAAAAAGAAGAATCTACTTAAGTAGGTGGGCTTGTCAATGATACTTGAAACTTCACAACTCGATCCAATTATCACATATTTGGATAAGGTGTTTATGTAATTAGGTTTGGATTTTGCAATATGCATCATATTAATAATATAATAATATAAATATATAAAATTTATAAAAAATGTTGGATATAATATTACTATCATTATTATCATCTAGAATTTCTACGTGCAAAGTGCGTACACATTTACTAGTAAGCTAAAAAGGTCGAGGTGCAGTAAAAGGATGCAAATATTTTTTAAGGTATTTTAGTAAATTTACATATGAGTGAAGTTGGTTAAAAGGTAAATTTAGTATTTAGAAAAAATTAAAGCATTACATCAACATGTTCTATTCCAAATGCAAACAAAAGGAAATGTATTTGAGGGAGAATCATCTCTTCATTGCAGAAGCAAGAGCAACAGTTGAGGTTTTCTTTTTAATAATTTGAATAGAAATCCATCTAAGCCAACATTAAGCCTGTATGTTCATATCTGTCTTTGTAATTATTCCATTAGACACAAGATAGGAAAAGTCTTTTAGTACATAGATAAAGCTTAGGGGAGGTTTAAATCTTTCCGTACCCTATTTAAAATTGTATTTAATTGGATGAAGGATTAAATTCAGGAATAAAGGTATTTTAATCAAATAAATAAAAATAGATATAGATATAGATAGTATTCTATTTTTTACCACATATAATAGCGCCACACACTGTTAGGCTACAACAAAGCTTTTTAAAATACATAATACAATCATTGATATAATTTATTCACTTAAAAGTAGCATGCATGCCATTTAATTTGGTGGAGGAACAAAAACGGCGATCTTGCTCATGTTCGAAGTAATGACTTTCTCTATCTCTGGACTCACGTTCAGAGAGGCTTGTTTCACTTCTGCAGATAATGCCTTCCACACTGATCTCTCCCCGGTTAAGTAACTAAATGAAGGCCTGAGCAAAATCAATGGAACACAAACAAGGTAAGTAACTTTTAAGGTTGACTAACAAATTATATAATTACTCATAACATCTGATAGAACTAGTTAGTTAGGTTCCTTTCAAGTGTTGGTAACTTTCTCTAAAGTGAAATGGGTATCACTTATCCGGATAAGTGATGTCCACGAAAATAAACTTTTCCTAGTTCTTATATAAATCTGAAAAAAGCACATGAGATTTTTGGTCAATAGGAATCAAAATCCTATTGACCAACTTTCCCCTCTCACAATCCAGAAAAAGAAGGCTCCCTTAAGAGTAAAGAGATCATAGTATTGCATATATACCGTGTTGTTGTGATCATAGAAAACCACTCCATTCCTTCACTGCCTGCAATTTTAGAGACTGCAAAAAACTTGGGCACAACAAATAACTGACCAGTGCTCACATGAGTATCCAGGACACATTGACCATTAATACCTACGATCTGAACATGCCCACCACCCTTCACTATGTAGATCACTTCAAATGCCGAGTCTGAGGAGTATCCTGGAGAGTGGAGAGCATTGGAGTCAAGTTTTATATAAGTGGAGCTCAATCCAACTTGTTGTAACAAGGGCAATTTCTCAACTGTTACAACCACAGCACGTCCACCCTTGAAAATATCAACGTCTGGCGTTGCAGCATCAGTGTTGAAGATCATCTCTTTGGTACTCGCCATGCAAGGTTCTGGCATTCTCTTCCCCTCCTTAAGCTTGACAATTAGAACACCATTTTGGCTATTCACGAGCTCATTTGCTTCCTTTTCATTTAAACCCAGTGCTCTTCTAATGAACTCCATTGAAAAGCCTTTGAAGATACCATTAGCTCCAGCTAAGAGGAAATAGGTGAACTCTCCAGAGTGGTAAGCCTTAGAAGTTTCACCTAAGAACACCACAACAAGTTCAGATTCACCATCGTTGAACCACCATGAAACTGCTCCGAGTGGTACAGGTATCACGTCGCCTTTCTTGAGCTTCAACACCTTTTCATCTGAAGATTTTGATAACACCATCCCAACCCTTCCACTACCTGCAAAGTACTTACAATAATTTTTGTAACACCCTCACAAACCCTTTTGCAATGATCCAATAATCGATTTAAACAACAAGCAATAGAAATAGCAATGGTTCAATTGGGTCGGCCTGTCTTCCATGAGGCCCATGTGATGTTCCCCATGCGTGGGTAGAGTCGTCATGGGTAGGAGATCCAGACTCGCTTAATAATGTGATCCATTTTTATAGGGCGGGGAATTTGAAAATATGCTCAGGCCAAGCTTGTGGTCATTGTTTCCTGTTCTTTAGGCACCGTTTAGGGCTTTAAATATTTAGACCTATGATAATTAAAGGACCTGTTTGGCATATCTTTTTATGCGGTCTTTCGGTTGTTTACAAGATAGGAAGACTGATTTTTGGTCTATTCCCATTTGGCTTGGAAGATCTATCCACCAAAAGACAGTGCACCGAAAAGACGCGAGAAGACCATTTTGGGCTGACTTTGGGAAGCTTCAAATGAAGCTTCCCACATCTTTCAAGTTTTAATCTCGCACGGAAAGACGCAGGCAGACGCAGAAAAACACACGTCTACCAAACTATCTTCGGGCTGCTCAAGTCTTATATCAAAAGCTCAATGGATCTTTCGACTGTCAAAGCTACAAGAAGATCTTCTCAAAAAGATGTGCCAAACAGGCCCTAAATTATTCTCATGCATCTGGACTTAGTTTTATTAGGGCCCTACTTGGTTAAATGCTAGAAAGCCCATGTTTGGTAAGGCCTTTTTTTTCTGTTTTTTAAAGGAAACCTGAAGGCAATTCATTGCATCAAATCATCAGAGAGTAATAGTATGTGGGCAACTCTATTACTTGTAATAGAGTGTTCCGAAATGTCCAAAATACCCATGAAATTACTTTTGACAAAAAATATTTATTTTCCAAGTTTTTTCTTCATATGAATCACAGCCCCAACCCCTCCCCATGAAGTTACCTTTGACAAAAATATTTATTTTCCATGGTTTGTCTTCTTATGAATCACAGTCCCAACCCTCCCAACCTCTTTTCTGAAATTTATTTATTTTTGCAAATTTACCCTTTATATCAATAAATCAAAGGTAAAGCTGCAAGTTTAAATTCTCTTTTACTGTTTTACATAATGTTTGTATTATTTTTTTCATAGAAATCATCCTTAATAGTAATTGCATGGATATTTAGGACATTTTCATGGCTCTTATTAGAGGATTGGGTCTATTTGCAACCATGTCGGAAAGTTCAGGGGAGGCGATTGCAATTATTAAACTTTAGGGGAGGTTTCAACAATTTATTGAAAAAGGAAAGAGGGGAGGTGAGAGGTCCCCTCACCATAGAGCTTATAGGTATCTCTTCTTCTTATTTCTTAGACATGTGCATTTTAAAATTAAATCATTAAAAATATAACAAGGCAAAAGTAAAATTTCATGGGTCTTAATTGTTTCTCATAAAATCCATATTTACTTTTTAATAAAACAACTAGCGGGGACCTGTGCAATGCACGGGATTTATTAAGTGAAAGTTAAATAATAGAAAGGGTCATTTACTAAAATACCTCTTACAGTTTCATGGATTTACTAAAATCTTCCCTATAATTAGCATTTTACTAAAACACCACTTATAATTTGCAATGGATTTAATCAATCTTTCATTAGATGACAGTGGAAAATGATAGTGTTGACCCTAATGTTCATTTAAATAAATTTAATCAAAAGAAAATAAAAATGAAAATACCATTTTTACCCTTAATAAGACATGGGCAACCACTCTATTGGCTATATTTGGTCAATTTCGTTTTCTATACAAAAAAAGTGTTAAGGGTATTTTTGGAATAAAAAATCATGGGTCTAATGGCAAAACAAACACTCCTTAATGAAATGTTGATTAAGTAAATAAGTTGTAAAATATATGGAATGTTTTAGTAAAATGAAAACTATAAGGTAGGTTTAAGTAAATATGTAAAACTATAAGGTGTGTAGGAATGGCAACGGGGTGGGGATCATATTCCCTGTCCCCGACCCTGATTTTGAAATTAACTCACATCCCCAATCCCCGATGGGGATGGGTTCCCCATGGGGACCCAAATCCCCAAAATGTTTTTAGATAATAGTATTTTTTTAATAAATTTATTTAAAATAAATAAAAATTTTAAATTATAAATAATGTTTTAAATATGTTTTGATATATATATATATATATATATGTATATAATAAAATAGTATATTTAATATAAATAACATTTAATATATATATATAATCGGGGTCGGGTTGGGGCGTGCCGGGGACCTCAATCCCCATCCCCGACCCCGACTGGGGATTCCTATTAATCCCCGTCCCCATCCCCGCCCCACCAAAACAATCCCCATCCCTGACCCCATCGGGTCGGAGAAGTCGGGTCCCTATCGGGGATGGGGAAAATTGCCATCCCTAAAGGTGTGCTCTAGTAAATGACCCTAATAGAAACACATAAGAATATACAATTGTTTTATATTTTCAACTTTTTAAATAATTAATAATTATTCATATTTTATATACTACTTTTAATAAATTTTTTATAGTACAAAAATAACAATAATTAATTTCAGTTAGGTTTATTCATCAAACTGATGAAATCGACCAACCCAATAAACTCAACTTGAGTTGCTTGAGTTGCTTGGTTTATTCATCAAACTGATGAACCGAACCAACTCATGAACACTCATAATTTCAGCTAAATTAATAGTCTCATCTCTAATAAATAAGAATAGTTTAATCTCCAATATTTATTGTAAATTTATAGCAAAAATACATAATTATTGAAAATATATTGAGAATAAAAAAATACAATAGTTGCAATAATTATAAAAATACAATAAGTACTAAAAATATATTAATTTAGTCAATAAATAGTATAATCTTGAATAAAAATTAATCAATAAGTTATAACCAAAAAAAAAAAACAAATACAATAAGCATAGTAAATTAAATTTAAAAATTTCAATAATAGTAGTTTAATCTCCAATAATTATTAAAAGTTTTCTGTTAAATAGCAAAACAAAATAAATTTATACATAATCATTAAAAATACATTTATCACAGAAAACAACAAATAATCACTGAAATACAATAAATATTAATTTTAGTATATATAATTTTATAATAAATACAGATTAAGAAATTAAAATTATTATAAATAAATAATATCTTTTGAAAGTTATTTTCTCAAATTATTACTTGATATAAGTGAAATTAGTTATTTACAATATTATGTAAAAATATTAAATTATTATCTGTTTCAATATTATGTTGTAATGATGTTTCTAGTTTTCAGGATATTTTTTTAATTTATTACATAATTTCTTTGTTTTAACTATTTAAAAACTAGTTATGTGAAATATTTTGTTATTTAAAATATTTATTTATTTAAATACTTAAATAATATGTAAAACATTTAAATTTTAAAATATGAATTATTTATTGAATTTAGTTATACATAAAATCATAATTTATACTATTATTACATAATTTCATTATTAATTTTAATATATTAAATTATTATTAATTAAAATATTATTTTATAAATATTTTTTTACTTTGAAGAAATTTTTTAAATTTATTACATAATTTCGTTATTTTAACTATTCAAAATCTAGTTATGATAAATATTTAATTATTAAAATATTTAAATAATCTATAAAATATTTAAAATATTTTGCTATTTGAATTTTATTTATTTAAAGCTATTACATATTATTAAATATTTAAAAAAATTAAATTGATAGTCCTGAAAAACATAATTTAAATTGTTAGTACATAATTTCGTGATATATTTTGTAAAAATATAAAATTATTTTTTGTGTTTTTAATAAATATTTTAAATTTATTATATAATTTTGTTAAAATATTTAAATAATTCTTAAATTATTTTAATCTAAACTTTCTTTAGATAGATATAGATAAAAAGTGGGGGAGAGGATAAATGGGAATTAGAGATAATTTAGGAGAGAAATTCTCTACTAAATTAGAGATAAATTTGGAGATAAATAGGAATTAGAGGTAATTTATAAGATAAATATGAATTAGAGATAATTTTGGAGAAAGTAGGGGATAGTGGGAGAGATAGTTTAGGAGAAATTTTAGGAGAAGAGATTATTTAGGTTATTAGGAAAGTGCATCTCATTGGTTGTCTTGAAAACGACATGGAATAAAAAAATAAAAAATTCAAAAAAAGGAGAAATGTGCATATTTATATTTATACTCTTCTCGAACTAAGCCTAAATATCTCTTAAACCCTTTTGGTTCTCTCTAATAGAATAGGGAGTGTAAATTCGTTGAATTGGGTTAAGGGCCAAAACATGAACCCTAGCTTGGACCCAAATTTTCTAAAGAAATCATTTCTCCTTTCCATGGTATACCATGTTTTTCTCTTTTCTTTATTAAATTAGTGTATATTTGTTTCATGAATTGTTCGAATTAAATAATAAAATGCAAAGAAATCATTTAATATGAGCTTTTGGTTATTTTCATCATTTGAATTTGAAATTGTTTTTTTTTTTACTCGGTTATTAATCTCATGCTAAGCATATCTTTTGGCTTTATAGGGTTACACAACGGGGGGCCTTAAACCACAAAGAACCTATCAATTAAGCCACCATCAATTGGTTCTCATGCTAAGTAGTTGATTTATGTACTTCTAATAATATTGAAGTTATATATAAAGGTATACTTTATAATTAAAAAGAAAATAATTATCTTTTCTACTATTTTATAAAATTTTTAGTAAATCACCATTACTTCATTTTTCTTTAAAAAATGTATTTTAAAACAGCAGCTCGATATAAAGAAAGAGAAACTTACCTTGAATAACATAACCCGCCTTGGATGAATCAGAATTGTGAGGTAAAGCTAGGCCTAAAGGCTTAAGGACAAGCTTCCCACCACTGATCTTGGCTTCTTGAAGAATCGGATACAGGGAACTTGACCAGCTGTAGTAACATCCACCCTCCCCTTCAAAGATTTTCTGAGCCACCTTGGGTGATAAAGCATAATCCATGGATGCCTTGTTTCCTTCTGTTTACTTCAACTATCTGTAAGAAGGCTGACATGCCCAAAAAGCTTTTTATAACAGAAGCTGGTAATAACGATAAAATTGGCTAGTGGAAGAGTATTTCCTTTCTTTAGCTTGTACTTGATTTAAAACAAAGCATACAAAAAATATAAGAAAACCTTTACAAAGGAAAGAACGAGGAAAGAGGATTGAGGGAGATGGCATTGGTTGGCATTTTTATAGACGAAGTAATTAATAACTGAATTTGAAACAACGATGACATGACATATATATCAGAAGTGAATGACTAACTGCTTGTATTATCAAAACATTTTGGTCTCTTTTCTGGATTATCCGATAACCATGTCTCATCCATTCTAATTTTAGCAATGCCTTTTAACAACCCACATTTGCAATGAACCTACGATAGTGTCGTGTCGTAGCGAAAGTGAACTCGTATACCATTAGATGTGGAAGAATACTAACCACATACAGATTCAAAGTTTTAGAGGTGAGCAAAAAGATGGTTTTGCAATGGAAACTTCTACACGTAACGGGTTGCGCCAATTTATGGTGTAACCTATCGACCGAAGAATAACCTCAATGATTTAGGGCCAGGGGGTGTAAGTTGATCGGGTCGAGACCGGTTAGGTCGGATTGAGGTATCCTGACCTAATCCAAGCTGTTGAACCTACAATCATAACCATAGCCCAACCCTAAAATTCTGGGTTACGTTGGGATTGGTCTATTTTCATTATTTCCTTTTCGTTAAATATTCTTATTGTATATATTCAAGGGTTTAGGTTAATTTAGTTTTAGCATTATTATGTGTAAAAGAAAATATTTATCAAGTTTTAGAAAAAATTTGTTTTAAATTCAAATTTTTTTATATACAATATATTAAATAGGTAAAGACATACATATATACATAAATACATGTTTATATAATGTTTATACATACAAATACGATGTTAAACCAATTTGGGATTTGGTCAAATTGGTCAATGCCTCAACCCTAATCCAACGCAAAGTTAAGTCGGGTTCAGACATTTCAACCAAGGTTTTTAACATAGACCCAAAGAACGAACCGGTTAGGGTCCGGTTTCGGGCCGAATGGTTAGCCCACTCTGACAAAGAAATAAAATAATTTAAAAAAAAATTAGAAAATAAAAAGGGTCAAAACTGTTCGAACGGTTAACCTCCTAGGTCAGAAATTTGCTTACCAAAATCAACGGTTTTTGGAAAAAAAAATCTAGTTTTGGAAAAACAGAACCGGTCACCTGACCGGTTCCCGATTTTTCCGGTATGACCGTTTGGCCCAATCCGGTTTCGAAAACCATGCTTTCAACCCTAATCCTAACACAAACTTCATCCCAAGGTAAAGCTGCAACTTTAAATTCTTTTTTTTTTGTTTTTCATAATGTTAGCATTTTTTTTCCATAGAAACCATCTGTAATAGTAACTGCATGGGTACTTTGGGTATTTTTGTGGCTATTGTTAAATGGTTGGTTCTATTTGCAACCATATCAGAAAGTTCAGGAGAGGTGATTGCAGTTATTAAATTTCAGGAGGGGTCCTCTCACCACAGAGCTCACACATATCTCCTCCTCCTCTTCTTTCTTAGACATGTGCATATTTCTTTTTAAATTAAAAGGTAAATTACAAAGACCCCATGTACTATGGGGTTTGTGACAAAGACCCCCCTGTACTATGACCATGAGACAAAGACCCCCCTTGACCATTAAGTCAGATGATGGAATGCGTTAAATTACCGAAATACTCCACTAAACTTTTTCTATTTTCTGTTTTTTGCCTTTTTTCTCTTAAAACCTATTTAATCTATTGTTTTCCCTTTCTTCTCTTCTTTTCCCCTCCCTCACTGTCCTCTCTTATTCTTTCTCTCTCCCAACTCTCTGAAATGAAAGGACGGAGGAAACCCATTTCTCATCTTCCCTTTCTTCTCTTATCCGTCTTCAATCCCGTCTCTATAGCCATCGCCAACAATGTCGTGATCATGGGAAACTACAATGCTTGATAGCCCAACAACGGATGTCTGCCCATATCTCCGTCTTCTCCATCTTCCATCTTTTCCTCATCGTCATCATTGACTTCTTCTGCTTCCATGGCAACCAACAAAGGGAGAAAAAAAAGGATGGAAGGACTTGTAGTTGATAGAGTCAGAGACTCTCCTCCTGCAGCACTTGCGGAGCTGAAGCCGCCTCCCCTGCAACACTTGCGGAGATGGAGTCGGCGTCATGTCCCGACCGGAAGACCTTGTCACTACTGCTAATCCTTCCTTTGCCATCGACGGGTCCTGCAATAATGGTAGCCACCAACCTGATCTCAGGATCTTGTTTTCTCCATCACATGACAAGGATAGATTCATCAAAGAACATATCCTTACTTAGCTGCTTATTTTTTCTGCAACTAAAACTAATTTCTCCAATTCCACCACCATGGGTTTCACTTCTTGAGGAGCTTCTCCTCCAATAGCAGCAAGGCAGAGCTCCTCTACCTTGGCCCAGATACAGGACTTAGAATAGTCTCCTACTACCTTCCTATCAGCATGCTCAAGCTATCTCTATGTGTACCTATAATGCTTTGGCCTAGCCCGTTTCATGTACTCCCCGATAGAAATTGGCTATGTCCAGAGGCTCCACAAGGCGTCGGAACATCATCCCCATCTCAACCCAATCTGGCTTAACCTCAAAGTCATCAGGCAGTTCATACATCTTTAGCATCTCAATAATCCCATCCCACATCCTTGCTTCCTTATCTACCTCACATTTGGATCGACAATTGTTTAGCTTCCTGAGAGCTATTTTGATTTTGCCACATTTAGCCTCGATCTTCTGCTACTTTTCTAGTTTCTGCTTCTTCGACTCTCCTGTTGTGCAGAGGCACAACCTTGTCTTCATGCTATGGAATGCGGCATAAGCATAGAGAACATCACCTAGAAATTCTTGTAATGTCTAATTGAAGTAGTAAGAAGAAGCAAGAGTTGAACTTACCAACCTAAGATCATTCAGAACTGTGTCAGCATTTGTTGAAGAAATTGGAGGATCTAGATTGATCAATTGTGGCTGATTCTAAATCTCATTCCAATTCTAGGGCTAGGGCTAGGACTTCTAGTAGATTGTTAGATCTCAATTCGACATTTGCCGCTCTCAGTGCAAATCCCTACCTCCAGAACTTTCATCGTAACAGTTATGGCGCTCCTGGAATGTCCAAAACCTATCATGCTACAATTTCATGGGGGCGGAAGTTGCCTATCCAGATGCATTTGAGGACGGGTTGAAAGTTTTGAACTAGGGAAGCAAGCAAATGGAGAGAGAGAGAGTGAGATCGATATCTGAAGAAAGCAATAATGGAGAGAGAGATTGGGATTGAATTAAATGGGTTCAATCCCGATGTTGTTAAGGGGAAGGGCAAGAAGAGAGATTGGGGGAGAGAGATAGGAGAGAGAGGGAGAGAGAGAAAAGCGAAGGAACGGAAGGGTAGTATCGGAAGGTTGGGGATGGTGAACAGTGTTTTTCTTGTTTAGTTATTACAAGGGTAGTGTGGGGATTAAAAAATATTGTAACAGCATTTTTGAACGGAAGGCTAATGGAAGGGGGTCTTTGTCTCACGGTCATAGTATAGGGGGGGTCTTTGTTGCAAAACAAAGTATAGGGGGGTCTTTGTCACAGACCCCATAGTACAGGGGGATCTTTGTAATTTACCCTAAATTAAATCATTAAAAATATAATAGGAAAAATTAAAACTCTCGTGCAAGGTTTAAAATTTTGATACGATACACACGATACAGGGCGTATCGTATTGTATCTTTGAAAAATTGATATATGTAACATGGAAATTGGACGTTTTGTCTTTTTTCATGCATATCAGACCCATATCGGGGCATATCGGTAGCGTATCGATGAAAAATATATGGCCAAAAACTAAAAAAAAAATAAAGGGGGAAAATAACTTCTTTTCACCTCCAAACTTCATTCCTAGAGTACTATATTTGCAAAACTTTGCAAGAAACAAGTGTGAATCGTTAATTTTTTAAGATTTTTGAAATTTTGAAAAAATATGGCAAAAATAGGTACAAATTTTCAATCTTTTATAATATCTTGTGATTTCTTTTTTTTCTTGAATGTTTAAATTTATTTTGATCTACATTTCTTACATTCAAAATCACATTCTTTTTTGTGTTATCAGTAGATTTATGGAAATTTCATGAACATATTTGGGGAAAATATAAATTAACAAAAAATTTGAAAATGTAATTTTTTGTCTACCTATAAATACTAAATATGTTTTAGATCTATGGATTTATCTATCATGTCCATAGAGCAATAGAAATTTCTTCTTTAATCTTTCTTTGATTTTTTATATTTTTAGAATAAAAATATAGAAAAAAATTAATTATATTTTATCATTTGATCACAAAAATTGAATATATTATAATTCTATGGATGATCTATCATATCCACAGACCAATTGAAATTTCTTCTTTAATAATTATTTTTTTATTTTTTATATTTTTAGAATTAAAAAATAAATAAATAAATAATTATATTTTATTATTTGATTACAATGATTGAATATATTATAATTCTATAGATGATCTATCATATGCACAAAACAATTTAAATTTCTTCTTTAATAACTATTTATTTTAATATATTATATAATGTTTATTTATTTTTTATAATTTATGGAAATGAACAATAAATAATAATTATTTAATATTTAAATAATTATTAATTATATTTCACATAGAAGTTGTGCCCATGCATGTATTATGGTTGGATAGGAGAGTTGGGTTTTTCTCATCCCATAAAACATTAAAACTTAAGAATTATAATTTCTAAATTATAGTTAAGCATAGGATTTTTAATGAAATTATAACTAATTATAATATATTTCTTCATAAAACCATTAAAATATATTAATTTAATGTATATACACCTCATTAAGGTCTTATATTTAGTGTTGTTGATGTATTTTTATGATTTATTAAAGTATTTATAGTGTTTCCGAGCATATCTAAGGCATA